ATTTTGAATTTCTATTTTCCATTTTTAATTTGTAATGTTGTATTCTACCCAAAAAAAAAAAGGACTTGAAATTGAAATCCGATTGATATTGTTTATGACTTGGTTTTCTACTAAATCTAGATATTAGTAAGTTTAAATTTTAAGAATAATAAAACAAGAATTTAAATTACAAGTTCAATCTAAACTTTTAGAGCCATCTCAATTAATTAGTTCCTATATTTCAAAAATTTCTAATAATTTTTATACTTCCAAGATGGTGTTTCTATCAAATCCTTGTTGAGGATCTATAAACTTTTACCTTCATATTAAATAAATTCTTATTATAACTTCATAGGTTGAATGCTTACATATCATTGATGTTGTTATTAAACAAATTACATGATTACAAGTAAGTTTAGATGTTTGGTTGAGTGTGAACGTTTAAGTTAACGAAGATAGTCACAGCAGTCAATTAAACATGAAATTGAAAGTGGAAAAACTCATAAAAAAAATACAAAAGATCATATAAATATAACCTTAAAATTTAAAAAGCTATTTTATCTTGATACTGGTGACCAGACACCCCTTATCTCCTCAACTCAATCATGAACTCCACTGGAAGGGAGCCAAAGCAGCATGTGAGATAAAGAGTTCCTCAACTTTTTTCCATGGGTGAAAGTGCATGCAGGTGGTAAAAACTAGGCCAAAAAATAGATGAAAATAGAGATCATAGAGTACAATCCACAGTTTCCAGAAATATAAAAGCCCACAAACCACAACACAAAAACTTGAAGCAAAAGTGATGATATGATGGAACACTTGCACTGTTACTATTAGCACATGTCCTGTCTCAAAATGCCCAAAAATTACTTTAAAGCTCCCATCCTGATCAATCTCAAACCCAAGGTTGGTTTTCTTATATCAAAGACAAGATCATGATGGAGAATAGAAATTCAAAACTATTAAGAGAGTCCCCTCCCCAAGTGCTCTCTGGGCCAGCCTTAATTATAATCATGCATATATATCCAATTAAAATCCATTAGAATCATATCTTATCCCATAAAAACCTACTTAAGTGCCTCTATCTTGAAACTGATCATCCGCCTTTTGGACCTCGTCATGTTAAGTGTTGAATTATGGGAACTCATTATTCTGCTTCAAAAGGGATTCTTTTTTCTTTCTTCCCACAATCATATAATTAAAGCAGGGAGAGACACAAAGATGAGTGGACGTGGAGGGAGTGCCTATCAGCTTGCATAAAAATAAAACAGTATTTCAGAATAATAATGGTGTAATGTAAAGGAGGCGGGAGCATGTGATGCAAAAGCCTTTATATCTTCAGAGGAAAAAAAAAAGATGTCTTGTTTGTGAGAGAATGTGAATAAAGAAACCAAAGCCCCCCACCTCTCTCTGTGAGCCCAGAAGAAAATTGACCTCTCTCTACCCTTGTCATGTGGCTGGTTCGTGGTCTAATGACAACTTTGGGTTGGGGTACCAGAAATTAGCATAAAGTCGATTCATTTAGTCTATTTATTGTACTAAAAAAAGTTAATATGACGAAAGAAAACGTTATTTGCTTCATTAAATCGATGCTTAAAAGAACATTGCAGAGATGGAGGGGCTTTAGGATGATGCCAAACGGATATTATGGTCATTTACAAGTTGATTAATTGACAATCCAAGATGAATTAAGCAATTTAAATATGATTAATTATTATTAGTGGAGATAGGCAGATATGTGTTTGATAAGCGGAAGGTAAAAACTAAAAAGTGAATATTTGAGTTCTAGTCATTTATGAAGAAGGAGAAAAAGGGAAGGTGAAAGTGGGTTGAGACGTAAACAAAAATAAGAATTATTAATTGACTAAATGGCAAGACAGAGGCATTCCTGATTGCTTACTCAAGTGGGGCAAATGGGTTGGATTTTGAAGTTTGCTTCAGCTGCAAACTGGGTAACGGTCGGATTTAATTAGAAAAAGTATAAAATGGAATGCATAATGGAGAGAGTTAGGTTGAGAAAATGAAACTTGTTTTAATTTTTATTATATTATATTTAAATTTTGGAGAAATAAGATCGGATCTTTGCATCTGTGGCCTCTTCTTCCTGTTCCTTCCATCTCAAATAAAAGAGATGGAGAACCTCCTCTCTCTCAAGGATTTGATGTCTGAAAACTGATTGCTTAACTTGCAGTCCACATCTTCTCTGAATAACATAGGAATAGGTTTTTTTTTTCCACTTTTTGTATAATACCACCAAACCCACCCAACCAAAAATCATAAACAGAATTCAAAATTCAAAAAAAAAAAAAAAAAAGGGAAGAAACTTATCTTTATCTTAGAAAATGAGCAAACTGCAGCCTCAGTGTGGCATTTTAGTCCACGCTCCCACATCCACCAGAGCCAGATGGGCCAAATTTGCATGTGATTTTACTTTTGAATGCTTTAAAACGATATTATTTAGGCAGATTTATTTGAAATCAAAAGAGTTATGCATGTGATCAGATGATATGTTTCTCGTTGGATAAGTAACGCACTATTGAGCGAACTGAATTAACAGTTGTAAAATAGAATATATAATAAGCTTTGGGAAGTGCTAAAAAAGTATAGGAATTGAGGGGTATAGCTGGAAGCATATATAGCTTTAAAAGAAACTTACTTTAAAGTAATAAATATGGTAGAAAATGCCCACATTCCGAATCCAAGCCCTTTCGGTGAGCGCGCATATGGAATGAGAAGCCAAGGCAAGGGAAATGGCGACGGGATGGGATTGAAACGTAAACCTTGAATCTTGATGTTGCTTGGAGAAAAACAAAAGTCTACTCATTCACACTTTTTTTTGATGGGCCTTGCTTATCTTTCTTCTTTCTCGAAATGCCTTGGGGATCCAACGATTTGCCAACCACCACTAACGTATATTTTCAACATCAAAAAAATCAAACCTTGTTATCTAGTCTCTCTATAGTCTAGGCTGGCTAGGGAGCTGCCCCAAGGCCGGGTCATGTGGATGGGACAAAAAATAGCAACCTCCCGTTTTATGCATCAAAAATCCAAATGGAAAAATAAATATATTATAATTTGGAATGTTTGGGATGTAATTGGACAGGAATGGCCATGTTGATTGTTGATGTTGGTATGGAACAATTGTTATTATTCTTTAATATTGGGATTATGGATGAAGAAATGCAACTCCAAGAGGGGGCAAAAGAGTCATTTTAGAGAGGTGGCTGGAGTCGTCGGTCAAGGGCGGAGCAAGAAGGGGATACGCTTGAGGAAAGGGAAACTACGGACTAAGGAGGGGAAAGCGGGGGGAGTGGGGTCCACCTGGCTGTAAACAATCAAACGCCATGTGACTGTGGGAGACCACCAGCT